GGGTCGGCAAAGGCGCCGGCGGGAGCACTTGCATATTTACCAGATGACAGCAAAAAGAACTTAAACTGCTTTTTATTCATTCATTTTAGCTTGACATTTATGTTTTTTAGAATGAATGCCACTAAAATGCTATAAAATGCTCGTCCAATCAAAATGTTCGGTCAGAACATTACGATAGGCTGTCCTGCCTGCCTGTCAAAATATGTATTTGCATACCTCTGCGCACGCCATCTCTCCTCGCATTGCTGGTTAGTCTCCGGTCTGCCTGAGCGCGTTAATGTGTTTTGGAGGAGGCGTGGCTTTGCAGACTGATTATCCTGGGAGGGTGGTCCAAAATCGTCTACCCTACCATTAAGTTTGAGATTAAACCTCAAAAAAAGTATCCTTTCTCCAGAGGTTTTTGAACCTTTTATCTCTCCTAGACAGCACTCCATGAGAGAATCCCATCTGGAAAGATCTTCTGTCTCAGGTATGGTGCTTGACTGACCACCCCCTGAGGAAGCCCAAGTCATAAACTCTGGTCTCTAAAACAAGGTTTTGAGACTATCCTGAATGCTGGAGCTGCCTCCACTAGGAAACTATATGCCCTGAAATGGCAGCTCTTTGCATGGAGCACACAGGGGCAATATATTTTTTATTAATATATTAATTAGTATACTCAACATTTTTTTGGAAGCTCTAACTCACACTAAATATTTTGGAAGGCAATTGTAATTTGACTTGAGTATATTTTTTAGTACTGTTTCCACATCTGCATGTCACAAAACCATAAACGGGCAGAAAGAATGTAATACCTGTGTGTTGTTTTGAGCTCCCAGCAGCATGCACATGTGTGTGAGCAGTCTGAGAAGAGCGAAGGGAGCAGGTGACATATTCTTAGTGTCCTGCATGTCAGGCTGGTCACGACGTTGTGCATCACCCAGAATGTGTCCAGACTGAGTACGGTCCGCTCTGAAAAGAGGAACAATTGCCTCAAACTCATGAAACAACTGAATAAACAATTACCACTAAAACAGATATACAGCACCATTTTGTAGGGAAATTTTCAGCCAAAAAAAGAAAATCACAAGTTCTGTAAAGACATTAAATAACACTTTACGATAAAGTTCTATACATTAACATCAATGCATTTAATAATCTTGGTTAATTTTGATTAAACTACATATATTAATCCTTTTTCTTTTCGAGCTTTACAAATTTGCATTAAAGTATCATTACATTAATAGCCTACAATTAATCTTTATTAATAAATGCTGTAAAAAATCCTGTTCATTATTAGTTCATGATACCCAGTGCATAACTAAAGTTTCCAAATTGAACCTGACTGTAAAGTGTTCCCAGAAATCCATACAGAGGAACAAGTTATATGGTGAATGACCAATCAGAATAAAATATTTCAGACAGCCAGGTAATAAACTAAACTGAATTAAAAAACACATAAATTAATAACAACAAGCATTTGGTGCAAGAGTAACTCACTGTATCTGCATGGTTTGGAAGCCGTCAACAGGTTTGTGGTCTATGCCGCCTATTTCTGCATTACACTCTAGACAGCGGACAACCTCCATGGGCAGACCACACTGGACAGATGCATGAAGAGAATTCATTTTTAATTTGACAAAAATCATAACAATTTGATCATATTAAATTAAAACTAATGCTGTGTTCTGCGACTTTTAATGTATGTAGTTAATGCTATGCCGAATCATAGAAATTAAATTACCCTACCATATCAACAATGCATGGATGACCATTAGGACAGGCTGTTAAAAACAAAAGAAGATGTTAAGAATTGATTTAAAAACAGGATGTAGAAATGTACAAATACAGAACCACTTGTGAATGCCAAGGATCTGTCAAAATTCCACCCCCCTTGTTTCCCAAAGCAATTCTATTGGCTAAAATCAGTTTTAGGATATTTCGTATCTGATTATAAATCTTGCAAGTCTATATATATCAGATAATCCTACAAACCTTATTGGTCTGTGTAATATTACCAAACAAAAATGCATCAGTCAAAAAGGTTTTCTTGTAAATTAAAAAGTAATGCGTTACTTTACTAGTTACTTGAAAAAAGTAATCTGATTACGTAACTCGCGTTACTGGTAATGCGTTACCCCCAACACTGAAAATGAGAAACATTTCTGTAATCGTTTAACCATTATTTATCCTCTAATACTTATTTTGTTCGCCGTGGGACACATAAGGCGTTTTCTCAGTATAGTCCTATGCTGTGACTGACAATAAAACCACAAAATACACCAAAACACAATATAAATTCACAAACGACATCAATATAATTCACTCGCTGTAATCCGCATCTTTGGAATCCATACGATTGAGATGAACAGATCCAAATTCAAGCCTTTATTCGGCTATCTTCATCTCCATTCTCAGCAGCGATGTAAACGTCTAAACCGCAGTTATTATGAATTCAAAAATGCCAAAAAGCTTGAAACAACACATTTTATGGCAGTAATATCAAACGCTCATTGGCTCTCACCTGGCTGGGTTTAAATGAGTGAAGCGAAGCGGGATATAATTTTTGTCGATTAATATCTTACATTCTTCTCTGTACCTCATATATAAAACTATTATACCGTGACTGCGGCTGCAACACATTATCATTTGAACGGCTTTAGGTACCGCTTTTGACATTTTGGCAATAAATTAAATATTGTGATTACAGTTGTTTGTTTGTTATGTTTTTCTTCATAACTGTAAATTTTTAAAAAATGGTTATGGTTATTAAGTTTAGAGGTTTGATTGGGGTTAGCGGCTCAAAATATCTTCTCAATGCTATAGTGTTACTAAAATTGTTATTTTCTTACACATTTCTGTCCATTATGTTTTATATATTCTTTTTACATTCTCTATATAATGGTTTTGTTTTTGTTTGGGGTTGGGTTTAGGGATTTAACATTTAAATTATACAGATATTTTATGATATAAAAGATTTGCAACTATTTAACATTTTTTAGATGTAAAACGTAATAATGTTTACATTTAAACGTCCATTTTGTACATTTCAGCATCTATCCGAAGGAACAAATATATATATACTGTATATATTGTGACTGTAAAAGTTACCTTTTAATACCTACATAACAATGCTATTATTATTGGCTTTTTCTAGTCTATAAACTTGAATATCACTCAATAAGTCCAATAATTATATGGACATAACTTTCACTTTAGAACAGGGGGTCAAATTGTCTTTATTACACTGTTTTAGCAATTTGTAACTGTAAAACTCAACTCAACCTTGCCAAGACAGAACAGCTTGTGGTTCCAGCAAACCCATCGTTTCATCACAATTTCACCTTTATTTGACCCTCTAACTCTAGCACTCTCTATTCTAATTCTATTTTATCTGTGTTTTTTATTATTTAAAAAAAACTTGCTTGATTTCTTTAAAAAAAAAAGGCATCTAACACTAGCTTTCTAATTCTTTTCAATTATATCTATTTGTTTTATTTTTATTTATTATATTATTTAAAAAAAAAATGCTCACACTTTATATTAGGT